GCCCTTTCTCTAGTCTAGTCTAGTTGCCCATCTCTTGTATGTTAATTTAAAATTCGTATTATAAATGGGGTCCGCAACAGTAAAGCTCGGGTTTTCATAGTATAGTTAAGAACAAGAAACGATACCATGTTATATTAAATGAAAATTTCATTAATTTGCATATTTCCACTGGTGACGCTTTTACATACTGTGGAATTATAGATAGACCTATTTAAATACGAGGATCCACAAGACTGTCGTTGGTTCGTCAAGCAAAAATATGGACTGATCGATAAGTTGAGGGTTAATATGTTTTTTTATTTGCTATTGTCAGTGGTGGGAAGATGAAGCTGTATGGTTTGTGAAACTGACTATTATATTTCTTATTTTTCATATGTATTCATTTATTATAAAAATAAAAGTAACTACAAATTTATTAGGTTAGATTTGGTAAGATGATGAAAATAATAACAAAAATTATTCACGATGTATACTCGTTAGAAGCTCTTGCTTTAGGTACTTCAATTCAGTAACGCGAGCTGCACGTTTGACAAATAAGTTACAACTTGTGTGGCGGGATATTTAGTTAGAAATGGTCAAAGGGCAATAAAACAATAAAAAACATGTATATTGTTACAAGTTATAATATGGAAATTTTGATGGCTACGAACTTGGTCACACCGATCGGGTCCCTAGCGAGAGGGTTCATTTGCTGCATCTCTGTTCTATTTTGTTATTCCTGCCAGCTCCTACACGAAAAAAATATGAAGTTTCTCTTCTCAGTTCCTTGCCGCCGTAAATATTTACAATCCAGCATTATTATTTTTATAATTGTTCTTAAATACGTGTTTTTTGTTTTTACTTGTGCAAAGTTGTAGGTCCAAGTTCATAAGAAAACTTTTTTAACATAAACACCGTCATCTAATGTAGGCCTAATTCAACGTTACAACACGAACTGCGCGATGTATGCCTAATTTAGCTCCTTAGTTTTGATCGATAAATAAACACGTAATTCGCGAAATAGCTAAATCTCGTTATTAACGCTCACCATGAATTCTCATTTTACTTCAGTCTTATATTGAACTAAACTCTCGTGCTAAACACTTCAGAAATATCTTGATCATTATTAGCAACTTCTAACTTGGGACTGACATAGCCTGGTGGTTAGGACGCTCGATTTGCGGGTTCGAATCCCTTTCACCGAACATGATCGCCCTTTCAGCCGTTGGTAAAAAGAATTGGCTAAATTAGGGATGGCTACTGCAGATAGGCCTTGTGTAACTTTGCGCGAAATTCAAACCAAATCTTTCTAATATCTAAAATATACCACTGAAATAATATTATGAAAATCATTTATTTATCTAACGTGATCAAATCTGAATTTATTACACTGGAAAGCCAAGTCATATATATTGTATTTAAACTCCAAAGTGATCTCACATAATGTAATCAATGCAGGTCGTATCTGACTTTTGGGATGAACAATAGGCAGGGGTGAGATGCCATCCCGCTACTTTTTACTAGATTGTAAGCTTCTCACGCGGAAAGGTTCAATAGACCACGCAATTTTATGATTTTACCGGACTAAACATCAGAGGGAATCTTCTCTTTTCACGTGCCCGAGGCTATTAAAATTGGCTGTTTTTGTTTGTTTTGAATTTCGAGCAAAGCTCACAAGGGCTATCTGCACTAGCCGTCCCTCATTTAGCAGTGAAAAGCTAGAGGGAAGGGAGCTATTCATCACCACCCACCGCCAACACTTTTACCAACAAATAGTGGGATCGACTGTCACATTATAACACCACACGACGGAAAGGGCGAGCATGTTTGGTGGACGAGGATTCGAACCCGCACTGACCACTTGGCCGTGTTCAAATTGGCGGAATTTAAAGTTCTAATGCGTGCATTACCAGTTAAGAAACACTAAGTTTGTTGCTTAATTAAGTTTCATAACCAATTTTCTGCAATATAATTTTTTTCTAACAAGACAACATTTTATTCACCAAAATCTAGTGTCACTTTATTGTATTAATAATATAAAATACACAAAAGCCGTTACAATGACGTTTTCTTTTAAAGAAATACACCAAATAACTTTTTAAAATACAGAAATTAATTTGCCTTTTGGGAACTGAAATAATAGGCAATATTTCAAACTTCGATAGCTTATTCATCTATATTTATAAACACTGATTAAATAACTTTTTAAAATAATTGATTTAACAATGTTTTTTGTTTCAGTATTTCAACTGTTGTGTTCACAGATTTTGTAAATTTTATTATAAAACGTTTTATGTACGTAAACACTTTATATTTGAACACAAAACTTCGCCATCTTACGGCAACTACTAAGAACTAATTTATTTTAAAAATGATCTATTTGATTATTTAGGTAGTACCCGTAGATAATAATACGGCCCCAATTTTTGCCATTTTAATTATATTTGTACTAATTTTGTTAAATTATCCACACAAAAACTGCTGGAGAACAATTAACTCGAAATAAAAAAAGGGAAAAATTATACCACACACACACAAAAAAAGTAAATGGGTTATCTGTGCTCTGCCTATAGCAGGTATCGAAACGAATTTTTAGTGTTATAAACCCTCACTTTTGCCGCCGAGACACCTGGGGACAAAAGGTATATTCTTTGTGATACCAAACCTTTGTTCAATCAGAGGAAGGGCGTCGTCTCGGGCAAAAACGTTAACATTAAAACAATTTTTGTCTTTCATCATGAACTCGGCTTAAAGAAAATGTGACAATTTTAAATATATAAAGTTCGAGTGAATTTGGATGAGTAAAAATAATTACTAAATACATTTAAGAATGTTGAATTTCACAACAATAAATTTGTGAACAAATAAATACCAGACATTCAGTTAATTCAAACTTGAAATGTTAGTACATTAAAATTTTTTAACTGCAGGTCAGCAGTTCTAAAAGTTTTTAAGTTGATTACAATAATCTAATAAATTGTTTTCTGCTTATTACTTATTCACCAGAAGGACAAAGATGATTATCAAGTTGGAAGAAATAAAGAGGCAACAGACACGTTTAAATACAAACATTATATATATTACTGAATTATTTTTGTTACGTGTTCCATGATTTAGTTTCATTTATGAAAGTCAAATATAACATAAGATGAAATTTTTTTACGTCTGTAAAAAAAAAATCGTTCGTTTTTTAGGCTTCGAGGTTGCTAAATCACGCACTTGATTAGTGATTTCAAACTAACATATTTAAGAATAAATTGAAAATATAACAATGATCTTGGGTAAATTAGGGTTTCCATTAAAGACAAGTTCAGTACTTATTTATTCTACGGCATGCACGCCAACAGGAAGGGGCAAGAAGAGGCATTTGCACCCCCCTCACATTTCACAAAAAATTGCACGTATTATGATGTAAATTAAAATCGTAGTTAAATCAAATATCTTTAGTAATTTTTATTAAAACTGTAAATTTGAGTTTGCGTTTAAGCACACATAACACATTATTTTAGGCTGTTGACTTAAAAGCTGATCCCCTACATACATGTTTTGCTCCCTTGAAAATATTTCCATGGGTACCCATGCTCTAAGGTTACTATAACACAAACCTCACAGGAAAAATGCTTACAATTTATTTGTTGTAAAACAAAATAGTAAATGAAAAAAATATGAAACATCCCCAAATTATCATTTTTTCAGAAACTGATAAAAAAACAAAAACGTTTATACACCTAAAATGCCAAGAAATATCCCACACAAAAAAAAAGTGTAGACAAGTTTTTTTTTTATGAATACAACTTTATAATATTAACACACAGATCTTTCTAAACACTTAATATTTGTATATCACTAAAATCTAACAACACCATCGTGCATCTTGACCCAATTTCAACGAACATCTGAACACCACTATAGCTTTGTTGAAATACTGAAGGGCCTGCACATCTAATCCAGATGTAACCACCACTAACGACTTTATCCTGGGGGGTGTAACATTCAATACACACTTCTTTTACATAATAAGTATGTAACAATGGGGGCAGACATTGATAAATGCCAGACATTCAACAGGAATGTCATGTCTGGTGTAAATGCCCAGAAGGATCACAATCACCTTCTGGTGCAGATCAACTTATTCTGTTGCAAACATTAAGGACCACTACAATCACCTTCTGGTGCAGATCAACTTAGGCTGTTGCAAATATTAAGGACCACTACAATCACCTTCTGGTGCAGATCAACTTAGGCTGTTGCAGACATTAAGGACCACTACAATCACCTTCTGGTGCAGATCAACTTATTCTGTTGGAAACATTAAGGACCACTACAATCACCTTCTGGTGCAGATCAACTTAACTGATGTAAAAGAATCACATCATTAACTAGATCAACTTTTGGTTTTTGAGAACCACAACACACCTCAATTATGTGGGATCTTCTGTCTTGTAATTTTATTCATACACAGACACACAAAATAATAACACTCAAACTGCTAAAATGCTAACAACAATAGCATTATTTAATGGAGAAAAACTCTGATGCAGGTTCTGAGACCAGAACTAAAAATATGTAAATACCTACAACCCTGTCAAACACAAGGAATCACTAAAAATGTAACAACAACAAAAATAAAGAAGTTATAGTACGTGTGATGTTCTTTTAATCACCATTATGTCGAGTCGGAAAACTTCACAGAAATCTGAAGAACTGGAAGTTTTTCATTTGAGCAGGGGCAGCATTAGTCAACTTGGGACACCATACAAAGTTGTTTTCTGGGCTTCATAGTAAGGCTTGAAATTTTCTTTAATTTTTGTGATAGGGCCCTGATGCAACTGTATTTTTTGCACCCCATAACATTGCCCCTGCATGTAAGTACTTTACAGAACTAAATTACCAGTTTGTCTTTACCACCTTAACTTTGATGTGTTATTTTTGAGACAATTACAGAATGAAGTCTCATTCACCTCTGTCCCAGTAAGTATTAATCTACTTGCATTATTTGTTGACAGTAGCAGCTGTGAATACAATATCATACTGTTTTATCTACTGTGACTACAAAAAAAGTCAGTTGGTAATAATGATAATTAGGAATTTAGAAGGCATGTTTTGCTCAAATTTGAACAGTTCCAATAATAACATTAAAACCGAGATCTATGAAACATCATAACTGCTAATTTATGGCTTGTAATATAAAGATTTAGTCTGATCCGTACCTCGTAACTAATATTTTGTGATTATAAACTAGCCAACTGACAATACGGTCTCTTGTTATTAACTCTGTAACAGTGTTAGCTCTAATTTTCACAGCCTTAATATTAACGAGAGATCACAATCCTCAACTTACAGCTTGTAACTTCCTCAGTGTAGATATATTTATAATTTCTATCTACCAGACTTCAGAGAGTACATACGAGTAATTATCTTCAAGTATTGATCTTTAAACTGGACTCAGAAAAATTTCATCTACTTCTGCTCACACAAACCCCAATTTGTAATGGTTACAATCATAATGATCAAAATTCATCCAACCTGAATGTATCAAACAGTAAGAGTAACAATTATCTTTACTGTTTTGTTTTATCTTCAACAAAATTTCTTGGAATAACATCAACAACACGACCTTCTACAACCTTGATGTACTGTTTACAATTATATCAGTGTCATGTAAAGATTTTGAGGATCAAAAATCTGCCCTAACCCTCCTGATCAGGGATTATTAGCCTAAGTACCAGTGTAATACTGAAAGCTAAAGAGGACCACTCATTCCTGTGGCAATGCCACAGCTACATGTAATTATAGACTTAAACCTTGGTCAGCAGGTTTATCTCATCATACTGGAGGAGGCCCATTGATATACCTCAGCTGAGGAGTCAGGGAGGAGCCAAAGTTGTTCATGATATCACAACAGTGAGGCTCCAACAAGCTCCCCAGACAGGAGAGAACAACAAGCGCCACTTGGATGGGCACTGCAAAGCGTATAATTCGCTGCCACAGCTGAACTTTCTGGTTAGTCTTGGAAGGTAGTTCCAACTTTCTATTACTTGAATCTGGAGAAGTTGCCACAGATCTAAAAGTAAGAGCAGGGGGCTTCACTTCATTGACCCTAAAAGAATGAAATCATTTTATTTACCTGTTAATTGAAGAGATCCAAACTGGACATTATCAAATTGGTTCATTATTCATCTTTATCAATATAGAAATAAAAACTAATAAATTTGGGACCCATCTCTTATTAAAACTTTCGCTACACATATAGAAACACCACACTTTATATAAAAATAATGTAGAGGTGACTACATAGATTGTCTCATAGAAAGTCAATATTACCACAGACTATGGTATACGTTTCACTATCATAATTACAATGGACAATAAGTAAAAACTGTAATACTCTCATTTTTTACTTTAATTAACACCATCTTAAGCAGAGGCTAATCAAATATATATAAAATCTAAACAAAGCATTTAACCATATCTCAAAACTAACATGAAAAACTAAAAAGTTTACTAAATATAAGTCACGCATTAAATAACTTATCTTCTGAACAAAGCTTTTATTAAAACACCGATGAAAATAATACTTATTTGTTTCAAAAGTTAAGAAGATGATAATAAATGAAATGGAAACAAAAAACCTTTAATGAATTCCCTATCTATATCATGTGGGATGAGTCCATTGTACAACACTGATTGTTAGTAGTGAGTCAAGAAGTTTGAATCTACTGGGACTTTTAATGCACAACATTGACTGTTAGTGGTCAAAGTCATGCAGGTTAAATTTACTGGATCAGTGGGATGTGTTCACTGCACAACACTGACTTGCAATGGTCAAAGTGATGAAGGTTTAATCTACTGGGTCCAGTGGGATGAATTTGTTGCCCAAAACTGAGTAGTCAGACCCTTTCAGAGCATGGTTAAAGCCATTCGTAACAACAGGACAGCTTTGTGTGAACAAAAGATTACCTTATCGGAATGCCTGTCGATTACATAATCAAATCTGGTATAGAGTAATTTAGTGTTCTTCAAGGTTTTGTATTTAGTAAAAAAAAAAAAAAGAAATCCCTGATGTAGAGTGTTGACTCAAATTTCGTTTTCAAAATTCACATATGCAACTTAGAACACAAAATATTGTCGTTCATAAAAAATAGAATGTTCTAAGACTACTATAAGCTGTAAATTTCAAAAGTTAGATGAGCAGAACTCCATGAATAGCAAACAATGAAACTGAAGCCAAATTGTTCAAACCCTCTCACCTGAATAACTTTTTACCTTATAGAAGTTCAGTAAATTAAGCCTTTTCTTTGTATTGGTTATAAATAACTCATGAGGGTTTCACTTTATTGTATTTATCTACAAATTTACATTTAAATTTTAGTTTGTGATTATTTACAGTATAAGTTTGTTTAGAAAGAAAATCTAAAATGGGCAATTTAGAATGAAGAAGTATCACGTGATATAGAGAAGATTGAGAATTTATTTATGTATTTCATTTTAAAATTAAAACTTATATTTAAGTTTGAATTATAAACTAAGCTTTGATAACAAGTTTAGTGATATCAAGTTGTTTAATTAAATGTTGAATATAACTTTGTAAAAGGTCATGACATACAAAATTGTCAGTCAAAAGAACTGAGTCTGTATACAGAGGGTTAACATAAACTACTATACTAAACCTAAACAGCTAGTTGGTTTAACAAAAAACTACCACATTAATTCAAACAGCTTAATGCTATAATTAACTACTTCACTATTTAGGTTTAGTACTATAGTCTACTATATTAAACCACTACCACATTAATTCAAACAGCTTAATGCTATAATTAACTACTTCACTATTTAGGTTTGGTACAGTAGTCTACTATATTAAACCACTACCACATTAATTCAAACAGCTTAATGCTATAATTAACTACTTCACTATTTAGGTTTGGTACAGTAGTCTACTATATTAAACCACTACCACATTAATTCACACAGCTTAATGCTATAATTAACTACTTCACTATTTAGGTTTAGAACAATAGTCTACTATATTAAACCACAAATAGCATGTTGCTTCTAATAACAGTAAACTAATATACTAAAGCTTAACTTCCAAAACAATGAACATCTTAAAGTAAATATGCTTACGAAACTCCCTTTTCTTGTACTTCAATCTTACGGTGGCTTGCAAGATTTTTATGCTGGTCCACATTACGATACTGACAGGTACTGAGGTTTGTCTTACTCTGATCATTCACTTCTGGTAAGAAATCCTGTAGCTCTACTGAATCATTTTCCAACATCCCATAGTTTGTAGTAAACTTCTTGGTGGGCCAATCCTGTCATCAGATTAAAATACAGTTTTACTTTCAAATGCTTTGTTCGGTTTTTTATTGTTAAAACAACGTGTTTCACTTCACAACAACTATAGGGTAATATTTTCACTGTGTTTGTCTTTAAGGACCATGTATAACTTTAATAAAAGTATACTTATTTACAGTGTTTGTCTGCATCACGTATATTTTTTGGACACCTAAAATTTTTCTTAACTCTTAAAACAATTAAATCTATCAGAATAATAAAAAAAGATTAAAAATTTAAACAGCTGGAAAAAAATTGATGAATTTAAAGTTTTTGATTATTATTTAGGGAAATAATTGATAAAAAAAAAATCCTCCTGGTGTCATTATCTATATACAGGTGAAGTTTATTATGGCTTGATTCCACATTCATCAGCCGACTTACAGATATTAATGGGACAGGATTATTGTTCATGAGTAGAGAAATCTGTACTCTTTTTTTTTTTATAATACTTATCTGACACATTTAAAATAAAGATCCATCAAGTCTTATATAATGTATCAGAAACAAAAGTAATAAGTGTCAAAGTGTTATAATTCAAACACGTTCAACCCCTGAAACTAATGGTGACAAAGTGAAAACTGATTCGTAGATTGTGATGTGACTTATAACAGGTAAAATGTTACGTGACTTTTATTGGGGATTTATAAATAATAATAAAAATAGCAAAAATCTTGTTTAAACAAGCTTTACTGATGTCATAATTTTGTAACATTAACAGTAGGAGGAGCAAGAAAATCTCCAACAACAACTTCCACTACTATTATACCAGAAGCATGGGACAGCTTTACTGTTTGTTTGTTTTTGAATTTCAAGCAAAGCTACACGAGGGCTATCTGTGCTAGCCATCCCTAATTTAGCAGTGTAAGACTAGAGGAAAGGAACTAGTCATCACCACCCACCGCCAACTCTTGGGCTACTCTTTTACCAACGAATAGTGGGATTGACCATCACATTATAACACCCCCCATGGCTGAAAGGGCAAGCATGTTTGGTGTGATGGGGATTCGAACCCGCGACCCTCAGATTGCGAGTCGAGCACCCTAACCACCTGGCCATGAACCTTTTCATTCAGTGTTAATGAAATGCAACTATAAACTTAAGTTTGTATTACTGTACTTGTGTAGGTAGTATAGAAATGGGACAAAAATATAGTATTTCTTATTACCATACTTTTAGCATAAATTACAACAAAATACCTGGGTTTTGATAGCTTCATGCTGCATTTCAGTAATGTTGGGACGTGAAAATTGCTCCTCGACATGTTGTCCTTGGCTGTTGATGTTCCATTTCTGTTTTATACCTTGCATTTTTGTCAGCTCAGTGCCCGTCCTGGTACGAGGTTTATAAATTTAGTTTTCTTTTTACTTAAGGATCGTAATTACGGTTTAAAATTACAAAAACAATCCGATTGTAGTTCTTCTAACCTGTCATATCTTCCGTTACAACAGAATGTAAGCAATAAAACAGATACCACCATAAAGAATAAGGTAAAGAAAGCAACTATAAAGCTTACTCATCAACCAACAGCTTTGGCAGATTAAATGTGGGACATTGTTATTTCATTGTACAGAAATTAAATCATACTTAGGATTTAACTATCAAAAACCAATTACATCTGTTATATATTTCTAATTGTCTTTTATCGCATGGGTAAGTTTTTCATATCTAGAATGAAAATCATGTAAAATGTATACTCACTTGATGCTTTGTAACCATGGTTGAGACATTCAAACATTCAGTGTATTATAATCTCCTACTAAGTTTTACTAGCATTACTGTCAACCCTAAAGTAGTACTCACAGTTCGTAGGTCTCATCCCACAACTGGTACAGCTCCATCACAACTTCCTTTGTATGTGGCGATATCAACCCCGAGTCTGTCAGTAGCCGACGTATCAGTAGGTTTACTTCCAATAGAGCAGTTTTAGTGTCATGTAATTTTGACAATGAAATCTATATATACGAAAAATAAAAGGACTGTTTATAAAAACAAATTAGTTTTGTTGGTAAATAAATTAACTCCACCATACTTACTGCTTTTTAGTAAATACCAAATTTACACAATATTCATAACTGGAACTGAATGTTAAACTAACAAACGTTTACATAATATGAGCATAAACTCAGAATATTCACAACTGGAACTGAATGTTAAACTAACAAACATGTACAGAATATGTGTTTAAACCCAGAATATTCACAACCGGAACTGAATGTTAAACTAACAAACGTTTACAAAATATGTGCATAAACTCAGAATATTCACAACTGGAACTGAATGTTAAACTAACAAACATGTACAGAATATGTGCATAAACTCAGAATATTCACAACTGGAACTGAATGTTAAACTAGAGCCAAATTTCCATTAAAAAAAATAACTATTTCAAATATCAGTAAGGAAACTGTATTTAAGCTTAAAATAATCTGAAAACATGCACGGGGTTTGGCTGAATTCCCTATTTTTGTGATGTAAGAAAAATTATGCTTATATAATTATAGCACAGCTGCTTATAATATTTATTGTTTTCTACATAGCATACATTCTTCTTATGCAGCATTAGCATTTTTTGGCTTGAAATAATCACACATAATGGCTTCTGTTGACACTTTGTAATTAAAAATCTGAAGCCGTATTACTACTGTCAAGTTTTTTAGGCCAGATCCTTTACAGTAGGTGTCTGTGACTTGTTGGCAATAAATTTCAACAATAAAGAAACAGCAACATAGTAAACTTTTTAAAACCAGTCAAATGTATATACTAATGTTTGTTACACTATTGGTTATCACAGTTGTATCCAAAGCTTTAAATAATCGTCTCTTTTCAAAGTCTACGCAGGCTGGTTCAATTACTTTAGAACACAATTGACAAGACCAATTATTTTTCTCTGCTCTGCTATTACAATACAGTCTGTGATTTAATCTCATACCACCTATTTTTTAAAATTTTCTTGGGAGGCATGCCCCAGATCCCCATAGCATTAGCATGCTCATTGTGTTTTGCACAATATGTGTTAACTTTGGACCTCACTATACTGTACATCAAATGAAAAGTGGTTACATTAAAGATTCATTTTGTTAACATTCATGTAACATTTAACTTTAGCAAAATATTATATACCTTGATTCCACTAACTTCGATCAATCACATGATGCATACGAAATACTTTTCATGAGTTACAGTTGCCAATCATTCAATGAATTTATCAAGATATTCGCAGCAATATTTTAAGTATAAACTTGTTTGTTTATTCCACAATTTATGTGCCGAAAGTGCAAGTCGAGGGTTAGGCTCTTATCTGGCCATGTGGTAAAATATCTATTGTCTGATAAGATATAACTGTTTATTTACCTTTAGCAAGATGGATGAGTAATGTTAAATAGAAATAAGTTCAAATCACACAAGGCCCGTGCCCTGATTCTATATGACTGTGCCCCGAATCCATTTGGTGCTCTTGAAATATCAGAAGAGAAAACCATGATTGATATCATACTGAAACACTGAAAATTCTCACAAGTTTGGGCCCGGGCCCCACACCTTTTAAGTACCTAGTGATGACTCTGCCAAAGAGAGCAACACAGTTAAGGAAGTACAGGAATCTACTATCATATAATCGGCCATTGAAAGATTTTTCCCACTATTTACTTTTAAATATCATACAAGATCTTACAGATTCAGTTTTTTTGTTGTTGTTTGTGTATATTTGTGTACTGACAAAGACTTTACCATGAATATATATATATATCATATGACTATAGAAACAATAATGACAGCTTACAGACATTTTTGCCAATTCAACACCAGCAACTCCTCCGCTTCTTTTATCATCTATTCAATTTTACAACTATTGGACAGACCCTGTATTGTAGAATTAATGTTTACTGTAATTCCAGCATTACCAAGTGTATCTCCATGAAATTTGGCAAGCTTTTAGTAGACATTACAAAGTATGTTGTACATAGAAAATCAGAATTTTTAATAAAGATTTGTCTTTGAATCTACTAAGTTAATCTGACTAGTCTGAGTGAAAGGTGATTTCCACGTAAAGAATAAAAAATACTTTTGCCATCTTATAGTTTTCATATTTCCTTTGTATAATCTCTAGAACTACCTAAATGAATATCCAGTTTTTCCAGTAACACTTTCTCTTATTTTTCTCTACTAACTGTAGCAAGAGTTTCAAAAATGCAAAATAAATTCAAAAATAACTTTTTTTACTAGAATGACCACAGATTCTAACAGAAAATTTTAATTAGCTATCTTAAAAACACCGGGCTTCTTAACTTTTCACAACTGCTTTCGTTTGATTTTATTGTTCTATGAACCATGTCTAATTACTGCAAATAGCAATAAATCACCCAGTGGGAGTGAAAAAGAGTTTAGGGTAAACAAAATTTCAGGTTACACCTTGTAATGTCTAGCTATTCATTTTCCTTATGTGTTACAGAAGGAAAAATTTTATCTATTTTTTCATTTAAATTTTTTTATATAACTAATGAGTTTTTAATTTTTCAATTTCCATTACTTTTGTAAAATATATATCTATCAATCATTTACTTCAGAATTGAGGTATTTTGCTCTCAAAAGACAGTTTTCATTAACCCTAAAGTTTCTCATTTCTAACTGACCTATAAAAAGGTTTAAAACCTTTCACTACTTACCAGAGCACAAACTCTAGTTTTTCTCTCAATAAAATCTGTTAAAAAAAATTGTACCTTTTACCAAAATAAGTTAAAAAAAAAGATTTCATAATCATGTAGTTCATAAAATGGCCTTTCTATTGGTTAGAAACTTGTACTATTGACAAATAAGAATGAGTAAGTAATTTCTAAAGCATGAAGAAGTAGAAAAAGCTTCATTGGTGAGTGTAACAAATTCTTTGACATCTCAGAAAATAAAGAATGTGGGAGGTTCTTATTTTAAATTCTGGACTGACAATATCTGTAGTAGATGTTTGTAATAGATGGAAATTCTGAAACCCATGTAAGGGAAGAAAGAAAATCTAAAATGAAGAATTAAGAACAGATAAATATCATGTGAAACAGAGAAGTGAAAACTAAGAATATATTCAAATGTTTCCTTTTTGAATTATAAGCTACTTTTTGCTATCAAGTTTGACATAAATCTATAATAATAAAAGGGTGTGTCTGTTTGTGTGTGTGTGTGTGTGTGTGACTGCCATAGCTCCAAGAGGAAAGAACCTAGAAACCTGAAATTTTTCACACATACTAAGTGGACCTTGAGGGTGTATACCTGGGTATTATTACTTGAGCATTTTTTTAATGAAGCAAACTAGCAAAAAAGCTCATACAAAAAAATGGTTCCTTATATTACAACTTCTAATATATTGGAAAGCCAGTGCATTTTGGTAAAAATGGATTCCAACAGTGGCTTTTATGTCATGTTGCTTAGCAACAAAAGTATACACGTTGATCATAAAGTTGTTTAATTAAATTTTGAAATAACTCTAAAAGGTTGTGATATGTGTACTTTGATCCCCAGATGTCACATTGCATCCTATAAAGTAACATTCTTGATAGTTTTCACACGTGTGTAACAGTATAACAGCAGGGAGAGCAAACATATCTCTTGCTTACAAATATCAAAACTTAAAGAAACATTAAATATTTTAAGTTCTCAACCTTTTTCTTGAAACTATCACAGGAGATGGAATCTTGGGAAGACAAAAAAGAAATGGTTAAGTAAAGTCATCAATTATTCTTGTGAAAATGTATTCCAAAGGTATTTCATTTCCGGTATTCTTAAGTTTCTTTAACTAAAATGATTTAAGACAAAATGTTAAACACTCAAAAACATATACAAGAATTGTGATAGGGATCTCTAACAAGGTTTTTAACTTATGATAGAAGAAACAGTTGACCTTTAATGACATTATCCTCTCCTCCAAATCTTCCAGACACTTTGGCCACTTAGTCTGGTTTGCAATGAGAGAAAGTTTGGTCAATTCATTCTTCAATTCTTCTAGTTTCTTAAAACAAACTTTTTGCTCCACAGGATGACAGTCAAACAGCTGATGGTAAAACAACTTCCACTGAGAGATGTGGTCTAAAAACAAACAACTAAATATTTACATTTACCTAAAAGGGGAAAGCACTAAAATTGAAATCTACCTTAATATAAAATAATCTTTTATCATTCAAGAAAAATTTTAAAATGAACTATTCACTAACCTAAATGTTTGTAGCTTTAAGCATAGATAGAATTTACTTTGGATTTTTCTAAACTTGATCCACAGGTACATATTCATAAATGAAAAAACAAACAACAACCAGATATAAGCTACATAATCAGCTAGATTAATCAACAGTAACTTGATTGAAAAGAGTAACCACACCACTCATTATTATTAATAAAATTGCTAGGAAGAAAGAACATTACAAAAATTTGTGGTTTTATTAAAACGTACCAAGTTAAACCATGTACAGTTAACTGTTGGTTCTCAAGCACGCATTGAAATGTTTTTTTTCCTTCTTCTCTAATTAGTAATGAGAATATAGTTGTCTAAAACAAATATTGACTGACACATGATAACATGACAAAAAGTTGCCTAGTTAAGCTTCTCATGGACAACCATTACTTTTTCAAGTGGTCTTGGGTAAACAGCTGTTTACTAACATAATAACAAATAAAAACACTTGTGATTTTTTTAATTGTTTCATTCAAAATCAAGATTTTCTTTTTACATGGTTAGAAGACCAACAAAATTAGTAATTCTTTTGATACACATACATAAAATAAATGGTGTCCAACATACCAAGGTAAGTTACCATGGTACTTGGATATTTATAGGGCCATGGAAGGTTGTTAATTTTATTTCTAGCTAGATTTACAAACTTAAGTGAAAAGCAAGAATAATTTGATATAAATTGCAACTGTTTACTCCATTAGATTTTAGTTTGTCTGGAACCAAACTCTAGTACATAAAAACAAAAAAATGTCAATATCCTTGTTACATAATATCACCAGTACAGTTTAGAGAACTCACTGTGAACTGTAGGTACAATAGCCCTTTAGTTTAAGAGTCTGATGTTTACCGACTGGGTCCCACGAGTAAAGTACAACTGATAACAGCAATGAAAAGTGTTTGTTAATCTGAAGTTTCTCACCAAAACAAGAAGCAAAATGATAATATACGAGGACTTGTATGGGAGAGATAAAGTAAGGGTTATGACTCACAGTTCATAAAAAGCTTAGGGGAGGGAGGGGGCACAGAAGACTGATCTTGCATCGCCCCCCCCCCCCCCCACCTTTCAGTTAAAATTTTTTTAAGGGAAATACTCTTAGTTACAGATATTAACTGGTTACAAAGTCTTTGATTAGACCATCATTTCTGATGAAAAATCGTAGGTTACCTTCCAGTTTTTCAAGATCTTCAACAGAAAGCACGGTATGATGATGATGATTGTTGGTATTCACTTGTTCTTGCACGTCATGCAGAGACTTTAGATAAGTTCTGCAGGTGACCATCAATTCCGCCTACAGTAGAGGTAGTTTATTCAAGTTTAGACACATAAGAAACTTCACAATCACATTTTAATTGTCAGTGTTTTGCCTGACTTAAAAATTGTAATTTTGTTAAACAAAAAAAAGAAAGAGGCATAATATATTGTTGAATGACAAACTGATCTTCACTAAGCTTACTGGGGTATAATAAGTACCAAACAAGGCTTTCAACAAGTCAGAGGTGAATTATTGTTTAATGATAACAGTTTCACAAAACACTAACTTGTTCGTAGCATTTTTATACAGTCTAAAGCAAGTATGAATTAAAGCGAACCCAAATATTGTTACTTCCTAAATCTCTAGTTAAAAGACTGACTATTACATTGTTCATTGGTTGTCTAACTATTTATGAAATAGGCATGTTTATGTTAGTTAATTATTATCTTGTTTTGGTCTTTCTAACAAAAATATTAACCAGACAATTCCTAAAGTTAAGTTCCATTCTAGAACTGTAACAAGACTACTTCAAAGACTTGCAAAAAATATCTCTCTACACGCACACACACACACGTTCAACTTTGGATATAACTAAAGTCATGGCAGACAGTTAGATAGTACTTCACTTACACAAGTGGAGTAAGTACTTACAAATTCTGCATCAAAGATGGAGACAGTATGACTCTGGTAAAGCTTGGTGGAAAAGTGGAGAGCTTTTTCACTTTCTTCCAAGATGTGATGAAAATCATCAACATCCGAGTCCGACTCCACTCCTACTGGTGCCATTATATTGCATGCCTAGAAAAAACGTTGCAAGTTGCATAATCAGTGACATAAGAAGGTTTATTGTATTATTTTAAGGATGAAATGTTTTTCAACTTTTTAACAACTACTCATAAAGGCTAAAGTACATAACATACATATGAGATATAATAATACTTTCAATTCTCACAAAAATCTAACACTTTTGCTGATGAGATAATCTTACACCAAACTATGTGATTTTAGCCTATGATTCTACTCACCACAGAGCTGTCTGATTGGCACCCTAAGAAAGCATGGTAATCTTCTCCATAATCCTCTAATTTTCTGGCAGCATCTTCTGCATTGGACTCAGAGTAGGGTTCACTCAAATAAGCGGGCTCCTACATAACAGTTGCAACCAGATAGTTTATAGAGAAGATAAATGAGAACTTTTAATTAAAAAAAATATGGGCTGAAGTGTATGTGTTTGGGGGTGGGATAAGAAAAAAAATCAACGAGCCATTTCTAACGAGATTAAGTACTCTTTTTTTTCCCCTCTAAATTCAGATGAATTTGTTAAAAAATAAATTCTCACAATTTCATTGAAGTATTAATAGAAGAAATTCCAGCTAGTTAGACACATTAGTTAGATTTCTTACAGTAATTTCTACCCTTAGCAACTATATATGTGTATCTATACACCTACAGTTAGAGATGGTTTACAAGTTCCATAATTCTGTATTGTTCTGAGTATCAGTGAGTTGGTTCTCAGTATATTAAATATCAAACAGTTATTACTTTGCAGATAGCTCAAGAAGCATCATGTGCATAGAAAAAGTTGTATTTGTACTCGGCATATACTTCAATATATAGGCTTGTTCATAACAAATATCAAAAACAGAGTTGTTATCTTAAAGAAATAACTGATATAAGGACCTCATTACACTTTTAACCTTGAGCAAAAAAAAAACACTAAATAACTGTTCAGAAAACTTCTGCCTTAAAGTAATTATTACTCTACTAGTTAATACTTCCTAACAGAGTAATTATTACTCTACTAGTTAATACCTCCTTACATAGAGCAATTATTACTATACTATTAATTACTTTATGATATGTTTATTCAATTTGGAACAGTTGAAATTTAACACACACAGGACTTGACTGAAGCTAGTAATATATCATGTTGGTGACATTCAACACATTGAAAAACTATCTTTCATTTAACTAAAGCTTTAATGCATCTAGTAGTATTCCTCACTTGGTATGACTCAACTAATGGTATGCCCACTTAGTTACATTCAACACATTGAAAAACTAACTTTCATTTAACTAAAGCTTTAATGCATCTAGTAGTATTCCTCACTTGGTATGACTCAACTAATGGTATGCCCACTTAGTTACATTCAACACATTTTAGTAAAATATATCCCTCTTTTAATATGACTCAACTAATGGTATGCCCACTTAGTTACATTCAACACATTGAAAAACTAACTTTCATTTAACTAAAGCTTTAATGCATCTAGTAGTATTCCTCACTTGGTATGACTCAACTAATGGTATGCCCACTTAGTTACATTCAACACATTTTAGTACAATATATCCCTCGTTTAATATGACTCAAGTTACCATTACGGTTGGCAATCTGAAAATGATCCCTTTCTTGATCATAATCAAACTAGTGTTGCATCCTCTTAGTTACACTCAACACATCTAAAAATCATCTTTCATTTCACCTGATTCAAGATGGTATTATTTCTTGCTAGATACATTCAGCACAATATAATTTATTCCTTACCTAACCTGGCTAGTGTTATGGTCTGTTACATTTAGAAAATCAAACATTTATCTCTTGCTTGATTTCATTAGAGCTAGTGTTATATCCCATTACACTGAATATACCTAAAAGTTATCCCACATTTGATCTGACTCAAGCTAGTGTTATATACCATTATACTGAACATACCTGAAAGTTATCCCACATTTGATTTGACTCAGGCTAGTGTTATATACCATTATACTGAACATACCTGAAAGTTACCCCACATTTGATTTGACTCAGGCTAGTGTTATATACCATTATACTGAACATACCTGAAAGTTATTCCACATTTGATCTGACTCAAGCTAGTGTTATATACCATTATACTGAACATACCTGAAAGTTATTCCACATTTGATTTGACTCAAGCTAGTGTTATATAATATTACACTGAACATACCTGAAAGTTATTCCACATTTGATTTGACTCAAGCTAGTGTTAAGTCACGTTACACTGAACAAACCTGAAAGTTATTCCACATTTAATTTGACTCAGGCTAGTGTTATATAATATTATACTGAACATACCTGAAAGTTATTCCACATTTGATTTGACTCAAGCTAGTGTTATATCATATTACATTGAACATACCTGAAAGTTATCCCACATTTGATCTGACTCAAGGTAGTGTTAAGTCACGTTACACTGAACAAATCTGAAAGTAATCCCACATTTGATCTGACTCAAGTCATGTTACACTGAACAAACCTGAAAGTAATCCCACATTTGATCTGACTCAAGCTAGTGTTAAGTCACATTACACTGAACAAACCTGAAAGTTATCCCATGCTTGATCAGACTGAAACCCTTGATCTTCTATTGGCTTGATGGACTGTGTCACATTGCCATTGCCATATTTTCCTGTAATCAGCTCTTTGTTAACACTGAGAGAGTTGTCACTTACAATGATACCATTGGAATCATAAACCTGTTAGTAAAAAAATAAACTAAATCTTCGTAGAAATGAATAACAGTATTTCTAGTCAAGTAAACTTTATGGGATATGTTAAAATTTCTAGCACTGATAAAACTGTACACATTTTTAATATTTTTGAGTAAAAATTTTTTATCCACAAGAAAATAAAATTGAACACCATTATATTAACACAATAAAAGATATTAACTTGAATAAAAATACAGACAGAGATATTGAGAAAACTTTTAAAAGTCCTAAAAAACCAGTGTAGTAATTAGATAAAGTAATATAATACAAATTATATTCAAGTTATTTCTCTTCTGTTATTTTTAATCATGGCTTGATCTAAGTTATGATGGTTATACTGAATATCTTCAAATGCAGTTTGATAGCTACTGCAATTTACAATATTACATATACACAGACATAACTAAACAGTTTAACATGTTAAAAATTGTTACTTAGATACTGTCATTCTATAGTCAGTCTTAGCATTACAAGTAAGCATATTTTAATAGACATTGCTAGAAACATCTCTTGGTGATGATTAATCACTAGATTCTATTCTTGACTAACCTTTTCCAGTCTTATGAATCACAGTGCTTCAGAACGAGTAAATTCTGATAAATCAGTAAACACTTGTTTTCATGAATAATGATAATTTACTTGGGGGTTTTCGAACACCAGTAACCTTCTGATTATCCTTAGTTGATTACTCCCTCTTCCTTCATACTTCACAAAGTAAAAGTACCCATCCCCAGTGAGGGAAAAGTTTAATTTAATTTATCAATTTAGATGATTTTATGGACTTTAAAAAGGTTAATTGTGTTGCACTCTTGGCTTCACTAGGAGCCAAAGCTCTGAGCTATTCACAATGCCCACCAGGAAAAGTAATAGTTGAGCATATCAGTCATGCTAAGAGCCGCTCAACAATAACATACGGTAAATCTACATTTTTATCGCTTAAGTTACGTCACATTTTTAAATGTGAATGATAGTGTGATTAATTCCTAACAATTTAATGTAGAATATCCTGCTTGCAAAATAAAATTTGGCATCACCATTATTCATGTCTGTTCTCCAATCATTTCAAAAGTGAATGTTGAGCTTTGCCTACGTACGCAGCTTTTCAAATGGGAAACAGACAAATGCTCAGACAGTCACCACAGTTCACAATATATATAAGATGTGACTAATAGTTAATCTTTCACTCCATTCTACAAATTGTTATTGATATTAAATAACAATTTAATCTATCATTAGGTTCTTTATGCATGTTTCACTTGAAATAATTTTTCCGAAAGTTCTCAGATACAAAGTACAAATGTTTTGGTTTACCTGGTTTAACTTGGAAACTGAAGATGCACTACCAGATTTAGGAGACCTGGACTTCCTGGAGGAGCGCGAGGCTCGTCTCCAACAATGTGAAGAATTCTTGCCACGTTTAGGACTATTTTCACAGCTACGACCTCTCCGAGCCTCATCAAAACAGCATATACATCCTGAACTAAAAGATGTATACTTAGAACTAGGTGAAAAACAACTTGACCCTGAGTCAGACAATTGGACAACAGAAGAAGAACTGTCCTGCTTATACTGCCTACTTGTGCTGACATGGACTTTTGTTCTACAAAACAAATGATGATGGGGTGATCTTCCTATCCAAAATAATTTCACTAGCATAAAATAATCAAAATAAATTTTAGGTAACTGTGTTCTAATCCCAAGTCTGAATTTTTCACTCACTTTTATTAGAGATATGACAGATCACTGTACATCTCCTTTACTTAGTTAGAGAACCTAAGCAAAAATAAAGTATATTTGAAAATAAAAGTAGAAATTAAATAGTGTAGTAGTTATAAATGACTTAAAAATTAATATCTTGGAAAAGAAGTGGGTTTAGTTTAAAAAAAGAATTATCTACTACTATAACTTGTAATACATTGAAATGAATCCTTTACTCTTAATGAACATAATATAACCAGATGTAAGGTGGTGATAGCTGAGGTTGCAACACTTGATAAAACAAATTAAAATTTGAGGTTTTATTATATTATGATAATTGTGCATGACACCAAATTCTAGTACATAGGGTTATTTTCTTTGAACCTGGTTTTAGCTATGAATTTTTCACATATGCTCACGATAAAGTTCCTCCATTGGATGTTAAGATTTTTATAACAAATCTACATATAGTTAAGTGTCTTGTTTGTTCTTTTAGAGCAAATCTTTAAAATCATACAACTCACCTTAAATGTTTCCTTGTCTGAACGGGTGAGGACATTACATTAATTGCTTCATCAGATGTATTTTTTGGTGAAACAGAAGAAAAGTTCCATGAATTATGCTGGTCATACACTGTTTTATTATGTGGGGGATCTTTAGTGGACTGCACCTTACTCCTGGCAATGTTAGGTGATAACTCTGTGCTCACTGCGTGGCTTTTGGATTCAATGAGCTCTTCCATCTTTGCTGGTACCACTGTTTCAACACTCCCTGTACCCGATCGGCTCAGGTCCAAGCTACAGTTCATTTCATTTGATCCAAAAGAGTCCTCGCATTCAGAATCATTTGTGGTACATTCTCCACTTGCATCACAAGAACTTTCAACTGCCTCTGACACAACTCCTAAACCTTCTTTGAATTCACACTGCTGCAGCCATGCATGGATTTTGGCAGACTTATTATTCTTACTGTATGATCCTCTCACCAAACCCTCAGCTTCTATTACAAGCTGTCTGACAGCATCACTATTATTTCTTGGGCTAGATGTGGCAGCAGGTAATGAGAACATCTCCGGTTGAGGTGTGATCTGAAAAGAGCTATTAAGGTCTAAAACACTACTGGTTAAGGCTGAAGAGCTCATCTCCATTTCTTCTGAGAGAAAATAGTCATTATCAACTTCCTGGATATGCAATGTTGAATGCTTTTGGTTATTTCTTATTTCTTTTTTTTGGACGTAGGGGAATTGCTCCAGAGTTTTATTTTGGAACAAAGCGATTTCAGATAACAATGTCCCAGTGCCATTACGATGGTGCCCTCTGAAGTGACCAGAAGTTTCAATTGGTGAAGGCAACAGAGAATGATGACATGCCTGATCTGATTTTGACAGCTCTTTAGGAACAGGGCTGTAACTGTAAATCCTAATGAACTCTTGTCTCTCATCATTGGATAAGTGTGTAGAGCTCTCACTGGAATAACCAACATCTTGTACAATTTCAAAGTGATCAAAGCTCCCACCACACATTGACTTCAATTCGGGAATCCCTGTACACCCCACCATGACACCTTTATCATTATTCAAAGAACCATCCAACTTTTCATCACTTTCCTCTGGATGTTTTAGCTCACTGTCGATGGACTCGTTTTCCATGGTCAAGAGTGGCTGGAATAACCAGTCATCCCTATCAGAAGCTAGTCTTGGATACTTGGTAAGTGGCTCTTCTCCAACACTTAGTGGTATGGGAACATCACTTAACACAAAACCCTAAAAATAAATCATAACAGATTTTGTCATCACTAAAAAAGTAATTACAATGCTGTTGTTATAATGCCAATTATATAACAGTAAAAAAAAAAGATTATTACCAAGCAAATCATGAATGATCTTAAAGTTAACAAATAATTACTTAGTAAATACCACAATTCTCAGATAAAAACATGATAATCAACTATTTTAACAATGGAAATGTCTAAGGTGAATTAACTTGACTGAGATAGTGTACTAGAATTAAAATGTGATTTTAACCAAATATATCGAAATATATAACAAAGAGCAAATATGAAAGAACATACTATATTAAAGTTTGAAATCAAAATAACTGAAACTAACACTCTGCAGAAAGCACATTTTTAAATATAATACAAATAAATAAACTTGAGTGAATAAGTATCGTCTACAAGTGTAAACTGGTTCTATTTTACTATCGTCACTACAATCAGCCTTAACTTCACTAAATCTATTCCAGATAGCATTCACCTAAGTTTTCTCCCTTTCAAACCTGATCTAGGACTTTAAGAGGTTTCTCTAATGACAACATATAATCCCTGGTGGAGAACTTTAGCCTTGGTCGGTAAAACTGCTGTATACATGTATATGGAATAACATTTTTTGTGCTGTACTACTTTACAAGGCACTTGTCATACTTTATAAGATAGGTTTTTATTGTCAGTGATAGGTTTCCTGTAGCTTTGAAGCTTGTGGACAGTGAATGAAAGATATTAGTGTTACACACAAATGATGCACAAAACACAAGACTTCTATACACCGAGTTACTTCCCATTCACAGTGATTTCCTTAAGCTCAATTTAAACCATGGAGCTAAAATCAATTCGCATTTAGATTTTTGATATCTAAACAATTTTTGGGCTATTCAATAAGTGTAATTTTTAAAAGGTACAACAACACATATAGATACACAAAAATTAAATATCCAGCCCAGTACATATGTGATTCACCACTTGTTACTAAATTATACAAATTTCTAGGAATTCCACCTTTCAAACAGAAAGATGCCACAAAGGTAAAGTTGGCAAGATTTAAAAAACAACAACTTAAATTATTATTATTATCTAGTGAGAAAGTGACAAATCTTGCAAGTTGTAATTGTATATAATCTGACTTTCTGAAGATCTTATTTGATATATAATTCTAAGAAACCATGACCGAAAATAAAGAAGATATCTCAACCACACTACATCTGTTATATCCAATACCAACGAGGCCTTTCGACCAATACCTGGGCTCATCAAGGCCGGTGGAGATGCAAAATACATATTAATTGTCTAGTCGATATATATATAAACACACACACACACATATATATATATATATATATACATAAAATCAATTTTCGTGTTCGACATTGAACAGTTTTTAGGGTGTGAATCTGATCAGAAAAGCGAATTATAATTATTGTCGAAATTATTCACGTCATTTACAAATTAGATCTACAGGTAAGAATTAATAGCACAACATTATTTATATAACAACTGTTTATTTATTTATTTCGTATTTTACTATTAATTTTTATTCATTCATAAGAACTTACACAATACCCCTTCCTTTAGTTTAGATTTATTTTACCTGACCGTTGTCGAGAGTCGCTACATATTGGATACCACAGCTACGCCTGCGCCGACACACACGTTCCAACCGCTCATTAAACGGGTTCTATTCTGTGACGCTTGCAACTACAGCTGTATAACTACATTTAATTAAAGTGTATTATCGGCTACCTCGTCACAGAAGCCGTGTGGCCACCTAGGGGCAACAATAAGCATTACAGAATCTACCCTTAATGTTGTTGAACGTCAATTCTTCTTATCGCAGAAAATATAAGCACACAAATTATGTAACGCAAAGAACGATGCGTTTTTAAATATACACCTGGAAAAAAGTTAAGCACCCCCAAATATTTTTCAGGATTGCTTATTGAAAATAAGGTTTAATTTTCATGATGTTGAGCAATGTTCATAATTTCAAAC